AACTGAGTGAGTGCTCCTGTAAGTACTAGCAAACACAAGACGGATGTGAATCGTGTCTAACCATCGAGGAGTTAATAATAATATTGCAATCAGCATACAGTCGACCTTTTAACGTTTTTTGCCCTCAAAGGGTATGAGAAGAGGAAGAGAAACTCAGCCAATGTTTTGCCACTGCCATAACGACAAACTTCCATCGGCACATCCCGTTATGAATAGGTTGGTATTAACTACCAAAGAAAAATGCAACGTGCCGGGATCGAACCCACGACCTCACCAAGAGACTTCACGATACGGACATCCGCGTTTCTCCTCTGCATAGCCGTTTGCCACCACAGTATCGGCTTCAATGTCGGCAGACTATATGCCCGTATGCTACCATTCATTTGCCCGACCAACACTGCAAAAGATTCTCATTGAGCCACAAGCCCACGACCTACGTGCGGGTTGACCATTAATGATGACTCCATCGAGACAGGAGTTACAACAGGGCTTCCGGAGCTTCTCACCGTTGTTGACGTAGTGCAGAGCACAGTCCATACTGGCGGTCTCGTTGCCACTGAGGAGAAGAAAATGTCGCGCGCCACGAAATTATTACTGCTACTACTTCGGGTCGAACACAAACAACTTGCCGTCCAAGGTTATGGCAACAACATGATTCTCGTATCTAAGGAGGGACGTCTTATGAGTGATGCCAGGAGCAAGCAAAGTTACGGTAATACATTAGCATATTCATAACGGGACTTTGGGTATCTATCCGACCCTGTATGGTGAGGTCTACTATACTGATACCAGTAATACCGCATACACCACCGATCCACATCGTCTGCTCTGCTATCTGAAAGTTATCATGATACAATACTCGTAGAGCCGGGAAGACTACAACCATTGCTACTACCTCTACTGCTACTACCATTGCTACTACCTCTACTGCTACTACCATTGCTACTACCTCTACTGCTACTACCATTGCTACTACCTCTACTGCTGCTACCATTGCTACTACCTCTACTGCTACT